TACCTCTGTTCGCTGTTGATCAAGAACTGTGGATAGTTTTATAAGGCCCTTGTGAATGATACGTGGACACTGATCTGCTATTCGCATGGGAAAATATCTTATCCTACTTGTAATGCAACACGAAACGAAAGATAAGAACTATAGGAGTTAGTTTCACCTTGGATTGTCAAACGATAAACTATCTTTTCCAAGGTGTGTTCCTCCAACGCGCACCGGGAAACTTCACATGATAGCCTTTAATCACTCACTGTAGAAAAAGTTTTTATGAAGAAGAGATACCCTCTCGGTAAACTGTGGATTTACCAGGAACTGTGATGCGGACGTATTTGGGGCTTCTAAAGTGCAGCCGAGTGGACAGATTCGAGCAACACAATGTATCCTCGGTTCATATTGTTTGTAAATGTAGACGAGACGAGGCGTTGCGGACGATGAACGACGGCGGGGAACGGTGGCAGAGATGCGGGATTACCGGTGACACGAGTTGATGAGGAAATACTGGCAGGTGGGTCCTTTGTGGGTTGCAGCTAATGGTAAATCTGCAATTGTACGAGTAAACAGCCACGAACCAAAAGGTTCTAGTGAGAAGAGACGCGTTCACAATAAAATATAAGTGGCGCGTTTATCAAGCGTTACAAATGAATCCATTATTATGGTTTAGTACTGTCGTTAAATTATTCAGCGCCCTTCTTTGTATGTAACTATTATTTATCCAAGATATACCTACAACTGTGAATCCAATCTAGTTATGCTTTCCATGAACGACAGCCTCCTAACTTTTGAACCACTAAAATATTTAGGTAAATGCCCGATCCGAAATGTTCAGCAGAAGCTTTTCACTCCTCCGGGTTTCATCTCATACACCCATGGGTATATTCACCGAAATTGAATTGGTAATAATTTCTTCACATTTGAATCATCCATCCAACTTACAGAGGCATATGGNCATATGGCATCTACCAGTCAGCATGTATGCTGACTGCCGGGACAGGTTTTACCTAGAATTAACCGGAGTCCACCAAAGGAACTTCCACAGCAAGGTTAATTGTTCAACTTTTTGTTTGGCAGATTGAATTTTAATGTTGAAATTGTGAAAAAATCGGTAGCTTGTCGGGGCAGTCAGTTTACTGCTAACCGGTGGATGCCATATGCTTCTGTAAGTTGGATGGGCAATTGGAATGTAAACTGATCAGTACTATCGGTGTGGCCTTTTAGCTCAGCAGGTAGAGCGTGCACTGTAAAAACGCTTGGGTATCCTCCATGCGCGGGTTCGAATCCCATCGGGGCTACGGAACTTTTCACAATCTGAACATAGAACTTCGATCCGCCGAACAACAACGTAAACAGAACTAGCAAGAATAATCAGCTCACACTCGTAGAGCAGTTAACGTCTGGCACAAGCCTCGTCCGATAAAAGAATCAGTAAAATAGTAGAATCACTGAATCAGTGAGGTTACATTAGAACCAGTGATCATCCATACACTCAAAATAGCTGATTCAGATGATTAAATATCGGATGGTACAGTTTCCCCAAGGCGCTGTTCGGCCGTTTTACAAAATAACAATGAAATTTGGTTTACACTGTTTGAACACTTTAATAAAAACTTATCAAGTATATATCAGTTTATTGATTTCTTGTATACGTGTATCGAAACACCGGGTGTAAAAGTGATTGCTTTTCAGCTAGACTGCTCGTCTTACTCGCAAAATTTAAAGGGAAATCTCAGTTCATTTCAGATAATATTGAAAACATCATTCAACCAAAGAAAAGTAATACTAAGACCTAAGCATTTGTTGGTCATAACTAATAACTGCATTCAGTGATCACCACCAGGAGAAAGTTACTTAGCACATGCAATCCTCTGAACAATCGAGAGCAAATAGTTCCACCAATCAGCTCCGTCGAAAAGACAACCGTTTATGACTGAGAACCAATGAAATTTTACCTTTCCGCTGAACTTACCTAACATGAGATGGACCATACAAAACAACCGGTCATCTTTTCCTCATTCAACTGTATTCTCCGAACAAAGGAATCTGTTTATCACAGTGAATTATGATCTCATATCATAGCATGAATCAAACGGCCTACAATAATTTGGCTTTCCCTCGGATAAGTGAGACTGAGGTCGGTTTTATTTGTAGCATTACTTCGGTCGGAGCTTTTCTCAACCTTTATACGGCTTTTGCGATCACCCAGTCCCAGATCAATTCCCCTTTGTCAAAATTACTTTTGTACAGTCAAAACATTCTTCACGCGGCGTTCACTGTGACCACAATAAGTTCAATAGTCTCAATGAACTACACACTTCCATTCCCGAACAGACCCATCCATCCGATTGTCTGTCATGTACTACAAAACGGATTTTTCATACGTGTGATTCGTATCATGCTTGTGTGCAATATCGTATGTCAGTCGGCCGATCGGTATTGGGCTATTGTGCACCCGAATTCTTATCGGATGAATACGCGACTCTATATTATGTTGTGCGCTGTATTTATACTCCTCTATCCCAACCTCGTCTCCCTGACCCGTGTATTTAAAGTGATCTCAGTGGACGGCGTTTGTCGAGCCCGGGTATCCCCGATCGGAGACAAAA